ACCCCCATAGGCAAAGTCGGGGAGAACAAGGGGTGACAAGACCAGTCAAGCAAAGCAAAGCAAAGCTCAGGGTGGATCACAAGGTCACCACGCATTCCGAGCACAAGTTCAAAGGCCAGAAGGCCAGTTCACATGCAAGATCATATATAGAGATATACAAGAGTCAAGCAAGCAAGAGCAAGAGTATATATAGGCGAAGGTACAAGCAAGGTCAAGAGGAGAGCAAGTGAGGGCCAGACAGGCACAAGACCCAACTGCGTGCAACAACGCTGATGATCACAAGGCGCAAGTGCCTTGGTGAAGACATCAGCAGTGTTGGCCTCAGAGGCCACGTACGCAAGTCGCAACTGTCCACGCTGCTGTAGCTCACGAGCAAGAAAGTAGCGGAGAGCAATGTGCTTCGTTCTGTGCTCCAGTCGCTGCTCTCGACACAAGGCCAACATGGCCTTGTTGTCTACGTACAGGACTGGAGGAGAACGAGGCTGCTCTCCAAGGTCGGTCAGCAGGTAGGTGAGCCAGCGTAACTCCTGTGCAGCCATAGCCCCAGCGTAGATCTCAGCCTCACAACTGGAGCCGAGAACAGACGACGAGCGGGTAGCCCGCCACGAAACAGAGCCGGAACCAAGGCTGAAGGTTGTAACCCTGTGACGACCGCTGCGTTAGCCTGGTCGTCAGCCCAAGAAGCGTCTGCGTGCCCAGTGAGGACCACTGGACTGCGCCCTCCAAGCACTAGCCCCATGCCCGACGTACTGCACAAGTAGCGCAACACCCTCTTCGCTGCAGCCATGTGCTCTGGTCGGTGTCTCCCAGGAGCAACATAGCGTGCGAGAATGCTAAGAGGGTATGCAAGGTCAGGTCGTGTGCAGGTCATCAGGTACATGAGGCAGCCAACAAGCTCTGCAAACGGGCCACTCGACTCTACGGACTCATCCGAAGGCAGAGCTGAGAGCGAGTGGCGAGTAGGCAGAGGAGTGGCCTGAGGCGAGGAGTACGTGAAGCCGAAGCACTGAAGGACCTGCTGCACCATGTGTGACTGAGTCAGGGTAATGGTGCGGCGTGCTCTGTCCCGGGTGATCTGCAAGCCAAGGGTAGCTACGCAGTTCACCCAGGTCAGTGCACGTGTGTCTCTTCTGCAGCTCGGACTTCATGTAGGCGAGTCCAGCAGTGTCAATTGTGGCAAAGACCAAGTCGTCGACGTACACGAGGATGTAGAACGGCGGCAGTGAGGTGTCGGTGCGCAGAAACAGCGACGGGTCGGCAGTAGAAGGAGCAAACCCAAGTGCCGCGAGCGTAGTCCTCAGTGTGTCGTGCCACTCACGTGGCGCCTGGCGGAGACCGTAGACTGGACGCCGGAGACTCCACTGGGTACCAGGAGGGAAAGACCCAGTGAAGCCAGGTGGGCGACGCAGCCAGATCTCCTCGTGCAGGCTGCCCTGCAAGAAAGCGGTGCTGAAGTCAAGAGAGTGCAGCTCGTAGTCACGGTGAGCAGCAACGTGCAGCAGAACCCGAAGAGTGGTCATCTTCGGGGTGGGGGAGAAGGTCTGAAAGTAGTCAACCCCCTGCCGCTGACTGAAGCCACGAGCCACGTAACGCGCCTTGAAGACAGGCGGAGAACCCGGCGGCCGCTTCACCCTGAAAATCCACATGCCACTGACGATGTTCGCATCAGGAGGGGGAACAGCGTCGACGTAGGTGCCTGTGGACTTCCAGGAAGCCATCTCTGCATCCATAGCTGCCTGCCACTGAGAGGAGTAGGGACCCTCTATCGCCTCCCCGTAAGAGCGCGGAGTCGGGATGTCTGGTGCATCCGGGTCTCCCTCAGGGGCTAGCAGTACAGACTCGAGATGAGGTGAAGCGGCGGCCAGACACTGGAACTCCTCCTGCCTGTCCTCAAGGACGTCCGTGCCAAGGGCACACTCACCCCCGACGGACGGAGGACAGGCAGACTCAGACTCAGCGACAAGACTGGCAGCGTAGTCTAGACGACAGCGCGCAGCAAAGTCGACAAGCTCAGTGACAAGGGCAGACGCAGCAGACGACTCGAAGGAAGGGCCAGTGACAGCAGTAGCAAGGAGACGCGTGACAGTGGAATGGCAGCACGAAGAGAGTCCGACTCCGGGTCGGCAAGAGCAGGAAGAGAGGAAGCGGGAGGAGAAGGCAAAGGGGCACGCAGAGGAGCAGTAGACGGACGCAAGTGACATCCGGTGAGTGCCAGGGACCGGAGGAGGATGCTGACGCGACCCGCGACCACTAGCCGCGCGCAGTACGAACAGGCGACGCAGGACGAAGACGCAGGCTCACGACGCTCAGTAAGACCTCCAGTCGGACCAGCGTAGGGAGAAGGAGCAGGCAAAGGGGAGGCAGGCTGTAGCTGTGGCTGTGACTGGACAGGCCGTGGACCCTCTAAGGGAGGAGGAGGAGGACCAGGAGAAGGTGTAAGACCAAGAACCTGCTGCAGGAGCGGAACGAAGTACGGTCGGGGCCGCGCGGCGATGCCAGAAACAGCAGGGACAGCACCAGTACCCCCAGCAGGAGTACCCGCTCCAACAGCACCTCCAGCAGCACCTCCAGTAGCGCCAGAACCTCCAGCAGCACCACCACGAGCACTGCCAGGCGGACCGCCAGCGGCAAGTCTCAGCGCCAACACCCTCAGCAGCACCAGCTCCAGGAGAACCCTCAGACCCAGCAGCTCCAGTACTCCCAAGACGAGCACCTCCGGGACCCGGGGCGGTAGCACCCTCTGCAGTCGAAGAACCTCCAGCACCAGCAGCACGCCTCCAGCGCCTGGCAAACCACTCACGCAGCTCCTGTGGGGAGAGTGGCTCACGGCGAGACGAAGCACCTCCAGGCACAGCACCCCAAGGCACAGCACCCCCAAGCTCAGCACCCCCAGGCTCAGCACCCCCAGGCTCAGCACCCCCAAGCTCAGCACCCCCAGGCTCAGCACCCCCAGGCTCAGCACCCCCAGGCTCAGCACCCCCAGACTCCGCACCCCCAGACTCAGCACCCCCAGGCTCAGCACCCCCAGGCTCAGCACCCGCAGCAGCACCAGAGTCACCAGTGACCTCGACAGGCTCGACCGCGGTCTACCTGAGACACACCTGAAGGGGCAGGACCTTGAGGGGGGAGGGGGTCTACCAGGGGGGGACCTGGTACCAAGAAGAGCGGGGGTGGGGGGAGGGACGGAGTGCGGTAGGGGAAGAGGCGGTAGTAGGGTACCGACTCGACGAAAGTGACGCCCTGGGAGGACAGAACACGTCGAGAGGTGGGGTGGTAGAACTGCCACCCAAGGGCGTCGGGGGGGAACCCCAGGAAGACGCAGGGAGCAGCGCGAGGGGACAGCTTGTCCGCAGACAAGTCGCGGACAAACGCCCGAGATCCCCAGACCCGGAACGCCGACGCATCGCCAACCTTTCCCGTCCACAGCAGGGCTGGGGAGGTCTCCGGCCTGGAGACCCTGGGGTGAAGGTTGATCTGATGCGCTGCGTACGTGACCGCAAACGGCCACAGAAAATGGGGGGCAGCCGCATGCATCATGGACGTACGGGCGACGTCCATGACCATGCCAATGCGGCGCTCAGCAATCCCATTTTGCTGCGGAAAGTCCGGAAGCGTGAAGGACTGGCGGATGCCTCGCGCACGACAGTAGGCACGCAGAAGGCCAGAGGAGAACTCTCCGCCTCTGTCCGAGTGCAGACGCAACACAGGAAAGTCGGAGCCAAAGCTCTGCCTGAGCTGACGACGAGCTGCACGGATCCAGTCGATCAGCACCTCAGTGACCTCACCCTTGCTGCGCAAGGGGAAGACTGCGGTGTAACGCGAGTAGTCGTCAACAACGAGCAGGAAGTAGTGCTCCTGACCCTGTCCACGGACGCGGGCTGGGCCCCACACGTCCATGTGAAGCGTCTGCAACGGGGCCTCTGTCGGAGGAAACTGGGAGGAGTGAGGGGCAGCACGCTGGCGCCCCTCGACACAGGGGACACAGGCAGGGCCAGGGCCCTGAGGAAGGGGAGGGAGGGACCGGGGAAGACCAGACACAAGAAGACGGGAGGCCATGCCTCTGAGCCGAAGAAGAGAGGGGTGACCCAGGCGGTGGTGCCAGAGGAGGGTCTCGTGAGACAGACGACGACACGAACAGGGGGCAGACTCAGGGCCAGACCTGGACGCTGCAGCAAACACCTGACCAGACGAAGGGACCCTACCAGACTCAGTACCTGGAGGAGAAGCAAGTGGTCAGTGTGTACAGGCTTGACCCCGGCCGACGTGTAAACGTAGCCAGGTGGCGACCTGTGCCAGCCTCCGTGCAGTGGGTCACCCGCTGACGAGCAGGAGTGAACTGGTGGACACCCGCATCCTGTAGGTCAGCACCACTCACCAGGTTCGTAGAGAACGAGGGGAGGTAGAGACCAGTCAGGGTGCCAGAGGGAGCCGCCGGACACGGGAGGACTGTGGAGAAGCGAGACAGGACAGGCCCCCCAGAGGGGTCAGCCAGGGACACCGCAACCGGCCGACTCAGCGGCGTGAGAGTGGTGCGGTCCCGAATGAAGGAGCGAGACGCTCCAGAGTCAAGGGTGAAGGTGGTGAGAGGCCGAAGCCGACACAGTACCTAAGAGGGCAGACTCACCAGTACCTGAGAGCACAGACGCACTGGCACCTAGAGCAGCAGCCTCACGAGTACCTGACGCTAGCAGTACCAATTCCCGGGTCGGGCGGGAAACACCGGTAACAGTCATCCTCATCACTACCAGTCACAGTGTACATAGCAGAAAGAATAGCATCAAAGTCAAGATCATAAATAGCTACACCAGCCCTAGACAGCTCCCCCCAGCGGGGGATCTCAGCGGCCTCCGGAAACTGCTGACGCCAGGCGTCGGTCAGGCGGCCCAAAGCAGCGGCGGGCTGTGTGGGTGCCTCCACACCTCTCCCCCGCACGGTCGCCGGTGCGAAGAACGTAGGGGCAGGGACCAAACGCACCACCACGCTGACGCTGCAAGTACCACTCACGGAGCTGTTGAGGGGCGGGGACGGTGCGATGAGCGCTGCAGCTGCTGCTGGCGCTGACCACCCCCAGAGCTGCTCCGCTGAGACGAGCCACTCCGACCCCCACCGCCACCGCCACCCCCGCCTCCACCGCCATCCCCGTCTCCACCGCCACCGCCCCCACTGGCACCCTCACCCCCTCCTCCTCCGCTACCTCCTCCGCCGCCACCTCCGCCTCCACCGCCTCCACCAGTACCTCCACTCCCTCCACCACCTCCACCGCCCACCCCCACTCCCCCCGCCACCCCCACCTCCCCCGCCACCGCCCCCTCTAGCTCCACCCGCTCCCTTGCCCCCCTTGCCCTTGCCAGTGCGGCGTCTACCGCTGGGGGCAGACGCCGCACCGACCGACTCAAAACCAGCGAGGTCGGCCGCAGCGGCAGAGGCGACAGAGGGCAGCAGGGGGGAAGGAGAACACCCCTCAAAAATGGGGGTGCGAGGGTCACCCCGAGAGGCCCCTACAGCGACGATGCTCTTCTCAGCCGCTAGCAGGGACTCCTCAAGGAGGTCGACAGTGAGGGTGGTGGGACAGACAGAGAGAAACTGGTCCCTAACGACACGAAGGGACTCAGGGAGACGAGTGACGAGAAAGTAGAGAGTGATGTACATGGGAGGAGGGTTTGCGGCGCGGAACTCAGCAGGAAGGGCAGCGCGGTAGCGAGCGTCACTAGCGCGGAGGTGGGTAACGAGGTCAGCGACAGTGGGAAGGCAGCGAGGTCAGGAAGAGAAACGGTAGCATGAGGCGACTAAGCGTAGCGGAGGAAGGGGAGGAGTAGCGTGCAACTACAGCGTCGTACAAGGCCTGAGCGGTCTTGCACTGACTAAAGTGGGCACGCTCGGAGGAAGGGAGGTGGCGACGCACAGCAAGACGTGCAGCAGCATCGCGGGTCGCCCACTTGGAGCGAACGGCGGGGTCAGCATCAGCAGGAGGGGCAGGGACAGCGCCAGAGACAAAGTCAAAGAGAGAGACCTCATCTATCGCATCACATTGTAAGTACAGCTGCAGGTCTTCAATCCAGACTGCAAAGTCAATGGCTCTACCCTCAGCATCAAAAGCTAGGACAGTGGGGGTGGCCATGACAGCAGCTGACAGTCTCACCGGGCAGGAAAAGTCGGGTAGGTCAGCGGCACAGTAACACAGCCCAGGAGCAGCAGTGGCCCACACGAGCAGGAGTGCGGCTCCTCTGGCGGCTCGGGCGGCTCGGGCGGCTCGGGCGGCTCGGGCGGCTCAGGCGGCTCGCGCGGCTCGGGTGACGCAGGGGCTCACGGGCGGCGCGGGCGGCTGCACGGGCGGCTCACGGGCGGCTGCACGGGCGGCTCACGGGCGGCTGGGGCTGCTCACGGGCGGCACGGCGGGTGGCTGCACGGGCGGGCTGCACGGTGGCGCGGCGGGCTGCAGCACGGGCGGCTGGGGCCGACGGCGGGCCGTAGCGGGGCTGTAGCGGGGCCGGCGGCGGGCTGTAGCGGGGGCTGTAGCGGGGCTGTAGCGGGGCCGACGGCGGGCTGTAGCTGGGCCGACCGGCGGGCCGATGGCGGGCTGTAGCGGGGCCGGCGGGCGGCTTCTAGCGGGGCCGACGGCGGGGCTGTAGCGGGGCCGGCGGCGGGCTGGAGCGGGGCCGACAGAGGCTGTAGCGGGGCCGACGGCGGGCTGGAGCGGGCCAACGGCGGGCCGACGGGGCCTAGGCGGGGCCGACGAGGGCCCGTAGCGGGGCCTAGGCGGGCCGACGGGGCCTAAGCAGGGCCGACGCGGGGCCGTAGCGGGGCCTAAGCGGGGCCGACGAGGCCTAAGCGGGGCCGACAGGGCCTACATGGGGCCGACGAGGGGCCGTAGCGGGGCCTAAGCGGGGCCGACAGGGCCTAAGTGGGGCCGACGCGGGGCCGTAGCGGGGCCTAAGCGGGGCCGACGGGGCCTACGCTTGGGCCGACGAGGCCTAAGTGGGGCGACTAAGGGCCTAAGCGGGGCCGACGAGGGGCCTAAGCGGGGCCGACGAGGGGCCTAAGCGGGGCCGACGAGGGGCCTAAGCGGGAGCACGGCGGTAAGGGCGACACGGAGGGTCGCTAAAAAAAAACCGCGCGCCTCGGGGCGTGCTTCGGTGGGCCCTAGGAACAGTCCCTAGGAAGGGACCTGCTCTGATTCCATGAGAAGATATGAACGAGGATGAATGAAGTATGAATGAAGTGAGTACAAATAGGAAACCCTAATTGGGTTGTACCCCCTATGGGATACCCCACTATAGCCTACAGAAACAAGTAAGCTATATGTTCTGACACCAGTTCTACGGGGTGGGTGGGCGGGAAACTAGGCTAAGCCGTTTGAAAATGAAAGACGTGGGTGGAGGGAAATGACCTCCAGCCCACGTTTTGTACTCCAAAATGGGCATTTAGCGCGGTTCGCCGATTACCATTGCTACATTACAAGCGCTTCACTTTCAAAATACAAAATTTTGAAAAGCGTTACAACTTTTAAAAATATTCATATTTTAGAAAGCTCGCTGTCTTGTTGTAGCAATGGCATCGTCTCATTTCAAATGGGTCTTCTCAGACATGTGTCTTGTTGGACGCCGTTGGCGCGCCACTGTCGTGGCGTGTTGAGCGGGGGAGAGGGCTCGTGCTGGGTCTTGAACTTGCTTCGAAGCCCCCACAAGCTGGTCTGCGGCAGGCGTGATGTGCGTCTCCTTGGCGGTGTCGCTGCTCCACCTTCCTAGTCGCTTCAGGATGCGGTTTGATATTCCGGCGTTGGCTGCGACAGTTGCTGCGCCTTTCCGAAAAGAGTGGGTGCCGAGATGCTCGAAACTAAGACCGATTTGTTGAAGGCCTCTTTGCACCAGTTGCGGATTGTTGTGTAGGATGGCGACTTGGCGGCACCGTTTTTCCCACCCTCTGTTCCAAAGACGCGGATGAGTGGACCTTGTTGCGATTGATCGTATCGTGCTAGGTGTATGAACCGTTTGGTGCACCGAACTGGGCAAAAAGGGCCAGGGCTTGCCGCTACCGGGACCCATGTGCCTTCTCCTGCCTGATCCGTCTTGGAACGGGGTATTAGTAACCACATGACTTCCGACTCGAAATGAATCTCATGCCAGTTGATGACTGCAAGGTCGGAGTAGCGCAGAAACCAGGCGTACATTATGATCGGTATTAGCCCCTTCTGAAATTCGCGAGGGTTGTCTGACTGTAGAAATTCCGATGCCATCGCGTGGACTTGATGAAGCGACACGGGTTCTTTGGCCTGGGTCGGGTGCAGACATCGCTTCTTCGCAAAATCTCTGACTTGAGAGGTGAATGCGCCGATAGACGGGCATGATGCCCCGATCGACCGATGCGCGAAGCTGACTGCAGAGCATGTCAACTGAATTGCAGACACCGTAGCCTTGTGTTGAATGGCGTGGACCAGGTACAGCGCGAGCGTCATGTCAGTGCATGGGAGGAACTTGAGCTTGTGGTGTTGGCAAAAGGAGCGGAAATTGACCCAGTAGGGCTCGTATGTACGGATTGTGGAGTCGGCCCGCGTTTGCGTGGTTATCTCTAGTAGGCGATGCTTGAGCTTTTCCAGCAATCCTACATCGTGTGCAAAAGCAGTTAGCAGGTGAATGACACGCGTAGTATGACCATCGGACTACACGGCAAACCGTCGCCGGAGAATGTCAACGGGAGTTGTGTGTTGGCCCCGTCCACGCTTGGGCGGAGCCGACTTCGTGGTGGGGTGTACGGAAGGTATAGCCGACTTGCAGCAGTGGGGACGCCGACTTGGACGAGCTGGTCAACGGGGTTGGTCGACTTGCACGGCGCCACTGCAATGCCGCCGACTTGGGAAGCCGGCGGCCGACTTCAACTGGTGGTCGGCGATGTGGCACGTCGACCTGGAAGTCGGCACCGACTTGCAAGGTCACCGACTTGCAAGGTCACTGACTTGCAAGGTCACCGACTTGCAAGGTCACCGACTTTGCACGTCGGCGCCGACTTGGGAGGTCGCCGACTTGGGAGGTCGCCAACTTCAAGAGGTCAGTCTGGAAGTCGGCGCCGACGTAGAAGGGGCTTCGACCTGGTGACGCCGACTTTGGGTAGCAGACTTGGGTGGTCGGCTGACAACTGCACTGGTCGACCAGGAGTGACGTCGACCTAGATCTGGTCGACCGGAGGAGTGGTCGACCTGGTGAGGTCGACTTGGTGTGGTTGTCGACTTGGGAGGTCGACGAGCACATACAGGAGCAGCTGGTCGACAAAGTTGCCCGGTCGACCAGGATACCTGGGTGACGAGGTTCTGCGAAGGAGTGCGACGGTCACCCAGGCGAAGTTGGCGAGACCGACCTCCATGGTGGTATACCGAGGTCGTCGTGGCGGATCAGAGGCAGTCGCTAGCCCGAGGTTGACGTGGTGTGTGCGCTGTGCAGGTGACGAGACTTTGCACGCCAATCATCTGCGCGCACCTGCAAAGCGGGTGCACTGCTGTCCTGCGTGAGCAATGCTGGCACACCGTCAACCTGCAGCGTTGGCAAGCCGTCGACTTTGCACTGCTGTAGCGTGGTCGACCAAGTCGTGCTGGAACGCGGTTGACCATGCTGTGCTGGCAGTCGACCAACCTGAATGCTAGCTCTGATGTAGTCTTGCATGCCAACTTCATTGTACCATTATTGACAACGTTCTCTAGTGAAACTCTTGCCAAATTGCCCCATGAACTAGCAAGCAGTGTGAGCACTAGGAAAACGTCTAAGGACCAACGAACGCAGACATCACACGAGCACACGTGCCTAGCCAGTACTCTAAGCTCCCGTTGTAGTAGTTATCTCCGCATGGTGCGGTGAGCGTGGACGGCACACGACTTACCTTTCAGTCAGGTCGACGTAGATACCACTTACCTATTGCGTAGTTACAGGCCGGCAACTGTGCAGTAGTCACTATGGTAGGAGCCGTAGGTGACGCGGGGGTGGTGGACACCCTGGAGGCACGGTTGGAGAACGCGAGGAGGAAGCATGAGGCCAATGAGTATGGCGACTTGCCCTGGGCGGTCGTCGAGGCTGGACTCCGCTCCACGTGGGCGACGGAGCACCCGTCTCGACCTGCCTCTCCTCGTCCGGTGAACAACGAAGGCGGCGTCGACGTGGGCGTCAACGCCGATGGTGGTCAAGTCGGAAGCAGTGCTGGAGGCACGTCGAGGCAAAGAGGTGTGATACATGCCGGTGAAGTCGGCGGCGTTCAGGCGCGAGGGATGCAGACGTCGGCGGCTGCAGGCTCTTCGCAGGGTGACATCGGAGGCCGACGAATTGGGCTGTCGCCGATGACGGCGTCCCAGGTGACGGCAGGTGGGATTGCGCCGAGCTACGGCTACTTCAAGTTCACGCCGGACAGGATCTCGGTCACCCCCCCACTGATCGGTAGACCCGACATTCTCACCTGGAAGGAAGCTATCGAGCCCCAGCTGGAGATGGCTGGGCTGATCGGCTTCGCCCGAGGGACCGTGGCGACGCCTGGAGAGCACCACCCCGACTTGCGGGCAGAGTTTCGCGCCGTGCAGCTGCTGACCTTCACGGTCATCTCGCGGTGCTGCTCGCCGGGCGTGCAGATCGCCTTAAAGTGGTGCCGGGAGTACATCGACGCCGGCCACCGGGCGT